ATATAGCCTTGCTATTTTCTTATTAACAGGTGTTTTAATATATTATAATTATTATAATATATAAAAATATTTACGCTTTTCTATAAATAGTAGCATTAGTAACTTTGACGCCACAATTGTGTAAAACATCAGATATAAGATATAGCCTTGCTATTTTCTTATTAACAGGTGTTTGAAGTATTGATAACGATTCTGATATACAGTCGCAAATTTCTTCTGCTGCTTCTGCATGTTCTATACAGAAAACCATTGCTTCTGCAACTTTTATTCTTTCCGGTGATATGTTCCTCAATAAATCTTCTAATCTATCTCTTTGACTATATAGAAAATAATGGAGAAAAATTTTATTAGATAAATATATAAATAAATAAATATATATACATATATAATAAAAGTAATTGAGAGAAGAAAATTACCTGTTAGATAAGCTACCTCTTCTTGGTTCCTGTCGTTCTTCCATTTCAATTAATTCATCAGGCATACCTTGTGTCCATGGATTAATAGGTGGAGGTCTCCAAACACTTCCACCTTTGAACATTCTAAAATCTTCTGTACGCCATTCTTTTTGACCGTCTCCTTGCAGAATAGAATATAATTTCCAACGATAATATGTATGAGCCGGTGAATAATTTTCAAACAAAAACCTTTTAACAAAAAAACATTTGTCTTTATCAATTAATAAATTCAAACACATTTAACATGTAGAATGAAATTAGTATAATTTATAAAAAAACAAACCTAAACATCGGATTGTTTATTTCTCGATTCATTATCATAGCTTCAAACATTGGACCTTCTCGAATTACAAATTCCACCATTCTATGTATTAACATGACTAAGTTCCTATAACGCAGAGTTTTATTAAATACGTGTTTTCACAAATCGGAAATAGCAGGGTCTATCTTCTTCAGGTTGTGTTTAAATTTCCTGCATGTATACTTACAGAAAAATCAGAATCAACTAAAAACGACAAATACCTTTCGGTTGGAATAACCACTTTGACAACCGCATTCTGCAAAACCTGTGACAGTCCAGATCACAGTGTAATAGTAACAGTCGATGAAGTGTTCCAATCCACAATGTGCACCCCAAGAATGGTCGCCAACAAATTAATATAACACAATTTTTAAACGTAGATTAGAGATATCTTGTTATCGTGATTGGAACATTTATAAATGTTTATCACTAATTTTATTACATATATATGTATATGGTTTTTTTTTTTAATTTCTTTTTTTAACTTGCCAAAATGTATCTGGGATTGTTTTATTTTTTGTTCATATGCAACACTTACCAGTTACATTTATTTAAAATGCTCTTATAACTTTGTTATCCAAAGATGTCATGCTTTCATAATTTCATTACATTTACAAAATTATATAACTGAGTGATACAGGATCATTATAAATATTAATAAAGAAGATTAACAAATATTACTGTGTTAGTTTACTGAAGGCATGTATCTTTTGTATTGAAATTTTATTGTATATTAACATTTGTATCAAAGTTAATTTTTTTTTTTTTATCGTTATTGAAAGCAATTCACTTTTAGAAGCAAGTTTTTATAATAAATATTACAGAAACTTGCTTTGGCATAAATTTCTTCTTTTACCGTACAATATTATTTTTTATAATATTTTCTACACTGCAATAACAAAATACATTCTAAGAAAATCAATAATATAACATTAAAATACTATTACCTTCTCGAAGTTCTCCTTTTCCTGGGGATCTGCGCTCTGGAGGTTGCGGTTACGTGGTATCTGAGATTATGTTTCAAAAATGGTTATATGTTTCTAATTAATATTTGTGAAAAAAAAAATTGTCATAAACATTTCTTTTGAATAATCTTATTTCACTAAATAAGTGAATATATATATATATATGTATGTTTATAACAGAAATAAATAACTTATTGCTTTCGTTTAGCAATAAATATGTCTTACCGCTTGTAACAAATATACAAATAGATGGAATTATGATAAAATTAAATATTGAAAAATTAATCTATATATAATTAAAATATATTATATTAAATATATATTAATATAGCTGACACAACCAAATATCTATCTATACTATAAAATTTAAATTTAACAATTGGAAACGTGTGTTCAACAATTAAAAACAACAATTTATGTATGTAATACCTACGTAAAACAGGAAAATAGTCTACAAAATTATAACTATTATTATTTTTGTTTATTATCATTATTATTATTACTATTACTATTGTTATTCTTATTGTTATTATCGTGATATTAAATTTTAATATGATTGAAAAAAAAATCTTCCTCTTTTTTACGATAATAATATATATGTATGGAGTATATAGAAGAAGTAAAAAAAATATATCTTTTGAAAGATATTTGATACTTCATAAATCAATTTTTCAAACAATATGCATGAGATAGATAAAAAGGGTAATTGTAATATAATAATAAAACGAAATTCGTTAAAACGAGATTGATTATTTTATTAACCGCACCATTCAATTGGTTTAATTCATGTACCTTGAGTCTGTCGCGGCGATGAGGTTGTGCATTAAATGGAAGACCCGATGGAGGAGGTGGCTGTGTTATTTCCATCAAAGCGGGTGGAATGTAAATAGGATATGGCGGTATCGGTACACTTTTTCCCCATCCTAATTTCATCTCGTATTGCATTATATCTCGTCCTAATTAAACACAACAAATCAATTATTATTATTATTATTATTAGTTTATAATTTGATAAGAAATAAATATATTTGAGATGTAATGATTACCATTTAAATTTTTCAATGCTCTTTCACCATCCTTGCGACTCATAAATGCTACAAAACCACAATTTCTTTGTCTGGCTTTTTCTTCATCGCTACGTGGCCACATAATTTTAATACTAGCCAATGGTCCATATTTGCCAAAAATTTCCATAAGTTGTTGTTCGGTAATCTACGAATATATAAATGATTAACATTTATTATTTTCATTGTAGTTTGGATAAACGATCGAAACATAAGATATTACCTTAGGATTTAAATTTCCTAAATATAAATTAGTCGTGTTAGGATCCCCATTATCGAATGAGCCATCTATAAAATAATAATATTTCAATGAATAATTAAATTAGAAAAATAATGAAATTTAATATACAGAGGAAGGAGGAGAGGTGCATGGGATTACCCTCATACATCAGGGCAAGGAGACGAGGATCATCAATGAAGTTACGTAGATTAGCTTTTCGTGGATCTGGATATGAAGATATACCACCTATTAAAATTTTAAGTATACCGAGAACTTATCAAAAAATTCACCAGTAAATGACTCTAATTAAATAATATGATAGCAACAATTCAATAATAGTTAAAGAAAAGTTCTCTTGTGATATTATCATCATGTAATATTTATAAATACCTTCTACGCATTTTAATGCAGCCATCATTGGATCTTCAGATTGTGTAGATATAACAGTTTTGACTACACCCTTATACTTATGTCTTTCTTCGCGTTCTTCTTGTATCATTTTAAGCTCTTCTTTAAACAACTCAAGATTACTTTTCTTCTTCTCCCCTTCTTTCTTCTTTTTACCCAATCTATCAAGTTTACGTTCATTTGAACCAAGAAGTCTGGCATATTCTTGAGCTTGTTCAGCGGATGACCTATTTTCAACTAGTTCAGATATTTTAGATTGCGGTTTATACAATTTTCCTTTCTCTCTTGTATCCTCTTCTGCGTTACATATTATATAATTAATAATAATAATGATTAAGAGTAATCTTCGAATAAACCCCTTGCACTATAACAATGTGTAAGACCACAGAATATGGCACGCAGTTAAATCATAATGCAAGGGGGGCTAATAATTCAAACAAACATACGTCTTTTGCCAGCATCGTAAGTTCCAGCTTTAACCCAAACTTTGCTTGTGGTTTTACTTGGTGTCTCTTGAAACGTTGCAACAAATTCTTCAAATGCCTATGTAATATTGCACGATATTATAGATATATATAAATAAAACAATATTAATAAAAATGTATTATGAATCATTTTGAATGCATACTTGTGCAGCCGCCTGTTCTTGTTCTTTCTTACGTTGTTCCTCCAATTCTTTTTTACTCAATGGACGTTTCCCCATGGTGCCAATGGAGAATGCTTTGAGCTTTTGCTCAGTAATTTGCTACGAATTACAAACAATCATTATAATGAAAAACATTGAAAGAATAAAATAAAATTTGTAAAAAGTGTTCAAATGTAAATTATTATTTTATACCTTCATTATAGTTTTATCCGCCATCTGTAAAGTGTGGTACGTAACCTAGAATAATCGTATGAATATGATGATTAATGCAACTCATAGATATTAGATATTAATGCGTTAATTTATATATGTAGATAATAAATGCAACGTACGGATTATCGATAATTGTTAATTATTTTTTCATACAAGATATTCCAAATGCGTCGCAACAACAAATTCGTTGTCTACGTTGTATCTAACACGCGAAAAAAGGATTTGATAAAGTCACGAAACATTTGAGCAATTGAAGTAATAACTAAATTCTATTTAATTACAAGTTGTTAAAAGGTTATATAGTTTTTTGATAGATCAATAATTTGATGCTTATTGACGATAAGATAGAGATATTATTTTTCACTGGCTTCACTTGCTAAACTTAAGTAAATTAAAGACGATTTTTACTTTGGAAAGTATCTATGCAAGAATTCTACTGCATGCATGATTAATCTTATTAATCGACGCTAGATGGCACGTGAGGTTGTTGACGATTACGAGGACATCTATTGAAATTGATAAAAAAATATTTATTAAAATTAAACATGGCCGATGTTTTGTTTGTGTGTAAAAATGATTATACTTTAGGGCTATGTTTAGATCATTTATCGCGGTAATAAAATAAATATTATTTTCATCACCTTAGGACAGAGTAAAATGAACGCTACGAGTCTTTACGTGTCAACATGTCGGTTGGTTTTACAAGCGGATGCTGAAGATCCTAATTCTTGGACAGACTTGTATAGGCTAGTTCCGTATTTGCGGCAGAGCTTGAGTTGTACTGTGTGTTCGAATTTGTTGATCGAGCCGCATACACCGACTGAAACAAACTGTCAACATCATGTGTGTCGTGGTTGTAGAGGTGGTCGTAAAAAACTCAAACCATCGTGTAGTTGGTGCAAGGATTATGATAAATATGTTGAAAACGTCCAACTCCGGATATTGTTACAGTGTTATAAAAAATTATGTGAATACTTGACTAGCACTAATATTTATCGGAGTTTAATGCTCTCCGTGTCTTCCAATACAACAAGCAATGGTCCATCAGCTATCGGTGCTACCAGTCTTATGGAGCTCATACAAGAAGGAACCGGTTTTAAAGATGAATTCAAAAGTACTGCAGGTTTATCTAAATCAGCATATAGTATTTTACCTTGTGTTTATACCAGTACTACCTCTACTCAAACACAAGGGAATACTATGTCAACTTCTGAGTCTATGTCACCAAACATACCTGGTTCGTTCTAAGATTGCATTCATTGCAATGATTATAACATAACATACAAACATTTAAATCCAAAGAATCTTAAAAAAAAAATACTTTTGCTAAAAAATCTGAACAATATGATCTCATTGCTTTGGATTCAAATGATTAATTATACAATTTGATTTACAAAGATAAGTTTTCTCATATAAGTTATTTTATTTTATTAGAGTCTCCTACTATCCGTACTGTTTCTAATGGATCTTCTATATATTCGGTGATGTACGCTGGGTCTGGTAACAAAATAACAATTAAACGTAAAGCGGCAGCCACAGAAGAAATAGAAGTCGGACAGCAGGAATTGGATGGAACTCAACAAGGCTCTGTAGGAGGGGTAAAATGCATTCCATCTACCCAACTTAAATATGGGCCCCCTTCTCAGAAAAAATCTTCAAAGGGCAGCAAAGTAATTTCAATAGATATTCGGTTAATCTTATGCCTTACAGGAAATATATACGTTGCACTATAATTTTAATATCAATCGCTAAACGATGTGCATCTTCGTTAATGCCACTTGTAAGGTACAATAATTTCATTGAATTTGCATAACATTTAACCAATTATTGTGAATATTAATTTTATTTAACCTTTTCTATATGTATATACATATGTATATATAAATACGTATATATATATATACGTATTTATACCATATTCATTAGTCCATACTAACATTTGTCCCAGAAAGGTTTTCTATTTACATATTATGCTTGGTCCCATAATAAGATTAATGCAGATATCATTATTTCATAATCTGTTTTCATTTTAACCAATTAAAAGCATGTGCATTGATAATAAAAAAAAAAAAATACATGTAAATGCATCTCTGCATTAATCTACACTATTTTTTTTTAACTCTTTTCTAATTGTTATATATTTATTAATAATAACGTAACTTGCTTTGTTATACCTCACAGTCGTCGGGCAGTTTTAAAAAGCCAAGATCGAGTTCTACCAGAAGCAAAAGAAAAGGATGCAGATGCGGTAATGCTACAGCTATACCTGGAAAATTAACGTGTTGCGGTCAAAGATGTCCATGTTATGTTGAAAGTAAACCATGCATCGAATGCAGATGTAGAGGTTGTAGAAATCCTCATACAGCTGATGGTTTAAAGGTATTTGTTATTTTAATTATCACTTTATTTTAAAGACTTTTTACCATTCATATTTTATACTTCAAGTGATTGTTTCATTATTAAATGTGTATATGTTTGTATACATCTATGTATATATGTTACAGATCCGCCCGCATATACCGGAGCTTCATAATCTACAATTACAACTATCAACTCCTTTAGATTGTGACGAATTAAATTCGGATCCTTTAGGATCTGTGTCGCAATGCTTATCGACGTCTCCTACAACTATTCAAGTATTAAATGTCTATTCTACTCCAAGACTCGATATTGATAATGTTCCACCAAATTTACCTGCAGCATTATTGGTAGGAGAAGACGCTATAGTTAGTACTGAAAGTGAAGCCGAAGACAGTGATATACAAATTGATGTGTGACAAAGTGTTTAAACTGAAATTATGCGCTATACATGACAAGATTAATAGTTAAGCGAATAGTACATTAGAATTGACTTCAATTAAATAGCTTAAGACGATATGATAGTCGTTAAGCTATTTTATCTGTACAATAAATAACAATTTTTTTTTTATTTCTGATTCTCATAAATCCTTTCGCTACGATGGAATTAATTATTGCTATGCTATTGTTAAATGAGACAAAACATTGATATTTATATTGATTATGATTGATATCCATAGTAACGAAAGGGTAAATCATTTGAGGCCCAAGTAGAATGATCATTAGGGTCATAAGTCATTTTTTTGACCCACCCTAATGATCATGCTCTTCAAATTTCTTGTCAGAAAGTACTACATTATTGAAACGCAATCTGTAATTTGGTACTTGTTGATGTAATGTTTTTAAAAGATCTCCGGGACTCGAACGGTTAATAGTTGATAATTTAGAAATGAAAAAAATGAATTTTGTACAACAGCATCAATAACAAACAAATGTTTTCATGATTATATATTTTTATTTAATTACAAATTAATTAAATGAATTGCTATTTAATTAATATTCAATGAAAAAAAGTTTTATTTTCTATTTAAAGATTATGATTGTTAAAGAAAATTGAAATCATTCGAACAATTAAGTCTAATTGTGTGTATAGAATAAAAAAACTAAGTTCGAATGGAACTATAATGCTTTTGAAATTTTATCATAGATCGTAATAATTTTTATTCTTAATATAATAAATAAATTGTATTTGGAAAAAAGAAAAGAATTAGAAAAATATTTGATATAAAAGTACAATTAACTATTTAATTAAAAAAGTAAATTTATGGTAAATATTTATATATATGTATATATATATAAACATACATATATTTTGGCGATTATTTGTTTTTGTTATATGCGGTGTGTAAGTAAATGTAATAAATCTTTATCATTTTTGGTTGGTTATAAAAAATATAAGTAATAATATATAGGTACAAAGATGTGTAGATAAAAAAATATTAAAAAAAAAAAAAAGTTCTTTTATCCGCCATATAATGTGAAGCTGTTGTACATTTAAAAAAAAAAAAAAAAAAGCAGTTAGATAATATAGAAAAATTATGGAATAATTAAAATAAATTTTGAAAAGAAAATGTATATATATAATTACATAGCGAAATTAAAATGGAAAGAAAAACATTCAGACAACAAACTTGCCACTCTTGTAAATACGATGACTTAAAATAAAGTCACACATATTTTAGCTACATATATTTTAACTATTTTACATACCGACATTTCCACTTTTTTAATATAAACGTGCGCAAAAGAAAAAAACAAACAAAACACATTCAACATTTTCTTATATCAAAAGAAGAATTATCTTAGTTCTTAGAAAATGATGAAAAAAAAATAAAAATAAAAAGTAAAATAAAAGAAAAAAATGTTAAATTATATAATAATATAATACAATATAGTGTAAATATTATTAAATAATCTATACACACACATACATATATACTTATATATATATAAATATATATATATAAGTCGTACAATTTGTTTATATTATATTATAATACAAAATTGAAACCTTTGGGGCAAATATGGCTGTAATTTTTATTTTGCCTCTAAATTTTATAGAAAATAAAAAAGAAAATAAAATAAGAGATATTAAGTATATGATCGTTTGCCTAACGTTTAGGTGATTTATTGTAAATAGTAGTATATAGATGATAATTTTATTAAAGTACTGGAGGGAATTAATCTTATGTATCCAAGACTTACAAATTATATTTTTTAGAACTGAATTTCATCTATATAATTAAATATATATATATATCCATCTATTCGAGCAATTGTAACCAAATATTTATCACTTCCAAATGTTAGTACAAAAAATTACTAACTAATATGTAATGCATTTTAATTGCAATTGTTTTCATAAAATTGTATCAACATCGTATATACATACATACATACATACATACATACATACCTACTTTGTTTTTTAAGGATGCGGAGATCTATTAATTTATTGTTATATTTATATATTGTGTTAACGCAATAATAAAAGAAACAATGAAGAAATGTGAAAATAGATATAACATAAATGTAAATCATAAAATTCGTATACATTTTTCTTCTTTTTATATAAAACATAAAAAATATCTTTTCTTTTAATCTTGCAGATAGTATAAAATATATATATATATATATATATATATATATTATTTTATTATAATCCTTCTTTATCTATTGAAATAGTATACTCAATCTTTAGTATTTATGTAATTCATTGTAAAAAGCAAGTAAAAGATTATTCTTTATGTAATATTAATTACTTGAATGTTATTGATTTTAATTATAGTAATTAATTCCTATTACAAACGTTTTAAGTTTATATATATGTATATATATATATATATATATACAAAGTGTCTGAGATTTTTCTAGTCAAACTATGTAAGCATATCCTATGCATGAGAATAAGAGAAATATATTATAAATACATAGATCACTTAAAATTTTATTAAAAAGCTGACACAGTTTGACAGGAAAAACCTTGAACACTTTAGATATAAAATATATTCAATTTACAAGCGGATCTCAATAATTATTTGGTCTCATGGAAATTTACATGTTCTATGTTGATAATTATAAGTTTTCTTTGGTACGTATTCGTTTATATTAACTATTTTAGATTTGAAACAATTAGTTATAAAGAACATTATTTATTTGGTAACATTTGGAATGTAATTTGAAATTTATTTAAATATTCATATATACGTAATATTACGTAGATGTTATATATATATATAAATTATTATTATTATTTTCTTTAATATAAAGCAAAATTGTTGCCAAGAAAGCTCTAATGTCAAACGCTATATTGAAATTAAATATAAGAAAAATGTGAATGTGTATATATACATAAAAATGTAGTTATGCATTTCGGTATCAGTGCTTCTCTATACATATATATATATATATATATATATATATATATGACATAAATCTGACAGCTAGATAAATTATAAAATAGTAGTAGTTTCAGTGAAACAATTTTACGAAAAAAACGTTGATTATAAGGATACATAAGAATTAGTTTATGAAGATAATTTGTAATGTCATTATAGTCTGTCTTTAAGAATATGTCATACAGTGTCACTACATACAAAAATTAACAGAATAAACCTATTTTACATACTAATTTATAAACTTAAACGTTTCTATTCCATTATATATACATAAGTATTATTAGTTTAAAATTAAAAAGAACATATATATATATACATATATATGTATATATATATGATTCATATAAACATGATTGATATCATTTTTCTTTTTCAATTTTGAATTTATGAATTGTTCGCGGGCCTTATTTCATTTATAATTTTTTATCTGTCATTTAAATTAATAATTTAATATAATACTAAATAATGTTAAAAATATATATTATTTTAAATTAAAATAATAAATTAAACTACTATTTTTTCTATCAGTGACATAATTGTTCGTATGATGTAAGTAGTAGTAGCATCGAGTAGAGGAATTTAAAGATGGCTGCGATTAAGTTTGGTTCACATTTAAAAGAATTAAGAATTCTTTTATGTCAAACGTCAAAATCAAGCGAAGGAGTTAGGTAAATTAAAGTTATTATTAAAAAAAAAAGAAATTATTAAATATAAAGTTGAGAAGATTTAATTACAATGACAATAATTGATTGACTCAAATTCTAACCTAAATGTATTTTAATATGTTTGTATTTTTTTTTTTTTCAGAGATTTCATAAAACAGCAGTATGTTCCTATAAAAAAAAATAATCCTAAATTTCCTATTCTAATTCGGGAATGTTCATTAACCGAGCCAAGATTATTTGCACGTTATGGTAAGTTGTAATTAATAATATTAATTTGTCATATTAATTACATAAATCTTAGAATAATATTTTTAAGATTATAATTAAAAAATAATATCAATTAAAAATCCTTGACACAGACAAAATTAATACATGTTATTATATTTTTGGTATCTTAATCTTTGAAATATTACAATATTTCAGAATACGGAGTAGAACGACAGATATCATTGAATGGTTTAAAGTCAGAAGAAATACTCGAAAGGCTAAAAAATCTTGTATCTACAAAACCATGAATATATTCTAATTTGTAAAATAGATATGTATATCACATAATTGTTGTTTAGTTATCGAATAAACTTAGTTATTATGAATAAAAAAAGTCTAATATTTTTTTCTTTCATTTTTCATTTATAGGAACAATTTTCACAGAAACTTAATTATTGTGTATATATATATATATATACGTACTAAATTAAAGCACAAATAATTGATATCAAGCTTGTAAAAATTACAAGATATAAATGAAATTTAAAAAATATATTAAGATCTATTTTGTATGTATATAATACTAAAAAAAAGTTTATACGAAATGCGTACAAAATAACTTAAAAGAAATACTTAAATATATGGCAGGATATGGTATTCATTATTATATCTTTCTCTCTTTTTTTTTTTTTATTTAAGTTTATCATAATAATTGTTATCGTTATATGAATAACGATAATTAAGAAAATATATGTGTGTATATATATATTTCTTTTTTTTTTTAAATATATATATATAAATTTTTAATAGAGATTTCAAAAGAAAAAAATTCATCTAAATGTTTGAACTGCGAAATCCTATAGAAAACCTGCCTGCAGATTTTCATATATATATATATGTATTATATTCTACTTTACGATTTGACTATACTCCAAAAGGCTGTTCATCACATCTTGCTCAAAATTATGCATATTAAATCAGTGACGAGTTCAGAAGAAAAACAAATGAAAGAAAATTTAAAAGCACGTTAATAACAACATTATTCTTTTTCTAGGTTTATCATGTGTCAGTGTGTATGCTTGTGCAAGTATGCTATACCCTTCATGTCATTAGAATTAATTAAGAAAATAAATTGACAATAAGACGATTCATAAATGGAATTCTATTTAAAAAGTATAGTAATTAAATGACGAATACTATATATATATATATATTCATTACATAAGCTAGATAAAAATAATGTTCAAAAATCATTGGTATTATTATAATTATTAAATAATAATAATATAATAAATAAAAAAAGAAATAGTATAAAAAAATAAATTCGAATTTCTATACTATCTTTTAAGTGACAATAAAATAAAGATAAAATATTATCAGTAAAATAGGATTATAGATACTGTTGTATCTAAATTAAGATTATTTTTACTACTCATTATCTAAGTTTAAATATATCAAAAGAAGATAAATCGCGTTAAATATTATCTATTGATGTGAAAAATAAGAAATGTATCTTTCCTATCACATTTATTACTTCTTGGTAACGATTACGTAACTGATTTGATCAATGGAATATTTTATGTACGTGTATCAAGTACGTTCTGTGCAAATAAATAATAATAAAAAACATATATACAAAAAACATATATCGTCTAAAAATTATAACGATAAATATATCTAATATATCTAAATATCTAAACGTTTGAATGTTTTCTTCGAAATCTATAGTTTATTCATTTCTTTCAAACAACATAGTAAATATTTCATTAAAATATTTACCGATTATTGGATATGATTTTTTTTTTTTTTTTTCAAATGGCCGTAACATAACGACACAAGCATAACCACATGATAAATCCATATAGCAACATCGCAACAGTTTACGATATAATTATCTAATTCTCCTAAAGATAATTATTGATCGATTTTTATGAATAAGGTTTCATAAAACTTCACGAGATGATACTTTTTCTTTTCCACTAATTTTCAAACTATTTTTATAGAACATTAATCTGTATTTTTTTTTTATATTGAAAATTTTGTGATCTCGTGTAATAAGTTTTTACCTTTTTCAATAAATCCTCGTTCATTAAAATCGAATAAGAATTAGGCTCAGAAGAATTCATGTCTACTGAAATTTGGTTCTAGTTAATATGGCGGTAAACCAAATAATTCTGGACGAAAATCTTCAAGGCTTTTTAATACAATAGTTGCACCTTTAAAATATTTTTCATCTAACATAGGATCTGGCACCATTATAACTTGCATTCCTGCAGCTACGGCAGCTTCTACTCCATTAGGAGAATCTTCAAATACTAGGCACTGTAATAACATTGATGAGTAAAATATTGTAATATTACTTTTGTTTAATATTACATATATAAAATAAAAGACCTTTGAAGGTTCAGGCTTATCGGGAAATCGTTGAGCAGCTATTAAAAATATATCTGGATTTGGTTTTCCTTTTTTAACTTCTGGATCCGTACCACCATAAACTCTATGATGAAACAGATCAAAAATGTGCTCCCATCTTTGAGTTTTTATATCACCGGTTGTTTTACTAGAACTTGTCGCAAGTGCAATTGGAACATTATTGTTTTTCAGATGTTTTAAAAGGCGCTCTGCACCTGTATAATAATACATAATATTTTTTATATATTTTAATAATGCGTGCCATATTCGCTGCTACATTTTGTGCTTCATATGTTTAGCCCGTAAGATTCGCTACAAATAGGACTTATGTTTCTCATGTTTAGGCTACAAAGTGTATCATGAGTTTCATATGTTATTATAGTGCAAGTAGTTAATGTTTAATACAAATGGTTTTATAAAAAGTAAATTGATAAATACCTGGCATTAAATTACACTTTGGAAAAATTTCCACATATATATCGGCAAGCTGTTTTTCAAATTCTGGTCCACTTATCGGCAACTCTAACATCTCAACAATAGTTTTAGCTGCTTCGCTGCTCTTAAATCCCATTATTTTAATTTTATGTTCCCAAGTATAATCTTTACCATACTTTTGAGAAATTTGATTGAAAGCTTGGGAGTACAAAGTCTCTGTATCTGAATAATTATAAAAATAAATATTTTAAATTATACTTTATATATATTTTAGAAAATTAATTATATCTATTTCTTAAAAAAAAAAAAAAAAGAACCAATAAAATTTGTATTTACATATTGAAACAATTTCATTAAATGTAAAATAGAATTTGATTGACAATAAAATATGATATAAAAATAGAACTATCTAATATTTAATTATTAATAATAAATAAACATATATCATACCTAACAATAAACCATCCATATCAAAAATACAATGCGTTACTTTTTTATAATTGTTGGCAGCCATTTTTTAAGATAAATGCTTTTCAGGTTACCTGCAATTATAATTACAAATATTAGTAAATGTTATTAATCGATTAGAATAATTAAACAAATATAATGACGTATAGAATGTCATACATCTAATTAATATAAAATAATAATTAAAATAAGCTATTATTACTTACAATTTTATTTTTACTTCTAATCCGTTCCTGACGAAACAATGTTTGAAGATTTGAACTAGTCTATTACTGAGACGATTAATTCAAAGTATATGTCAAAATTCGTTCATAGATGTCGCCACTTTTCAGTTTGACGTGAGCCAATCAATTCAAAGTGTATGACAAAATTTATTTATAGATGTCGCCACTTTCAGGTTTTTTAAAGATAGGTTATTATGACGTATGAATTGTAAATAATTTCTATATTAAAAAAAGCGCAAATTTTTTCAAATATTTATCAGTAAAAGATTACATTGACATAAGTCAATTATATCTTCTAATGATCGGATTTTTTGTTCTTTTCTTTAATTATATTTAGTTTTACACCTCAATAAATTACTCTATATAAGGTATAGTTCTGATTTCTTTTTCCTTTTTCCTTTTTTTTCTAAGTATGCGTGTAAAATCAAACACAGATTCATTTGGTGACCATTAACCTTAGAAAATTTGAATGATGTTAAATGTTACAAATTCTAATCAATTAATTTGATGAACACTTATAACATTAACAAATAATAAAAGAAAATAAATACAATATATTAAAAATAATTAATTAATTCTATTATACATATGTATATGTATATATATATATAAAATATTGTTCAATTAGTGCTGATATTTAATAAGAAATATTTTCTAATCTCGTCAAAATATACATCATCCATTATTCGAAGTTATCCCCTTTGTTATTATTATTTATATTATTAAATTAAAATTACGGCGTATGAATGAAGTGCTTAAGTTTAATTGTCTTATTAATAATTTTATTAAAAGGACATTGCAACGAACAATACTGTGAAATTGATGATGCAGACAATTGCAAAGGCAGAGATGAAGGTTATAAATATACCAAAGGTGTTTACTTTACTTTATTTACATTTGCATATAGATGAAATAAAAAATAAAAAATAAATGTTTAATTATTATAATAAAAGAATATTATATTAATCGTTTGTATTTTATTATTATAGTTTCTAATGAAAAATATAAAAAATATATTGAAGCTATCGACGAGGCTGAAAGAAATTACGTAGAATGCAACGCTACAAGATGTGAATGTTATAAAAATATAATAATAAGAGATTTAAAACCATTTAAGAAAAATGGTATAAGCAAAGAATTGATTGATATAGCAAAGACCAGGTATACATAAATATTTTATTTCGATGTTAATGTTTATATACATCCTGTAACTAGTGATACTATTGAACAAAGAGTGATTCTATATTAAACAAATAACCTAAATTAAACATTTAGAATCATATTTGTTTATATAAGATTTTATTATTGAGGAAAATAAATTTGAAAATTTGTCACTCGATTCAGTTTCAGTTTGATAAATTTCATCTTAATTCTCAAATATTTTTGTATTCACTTGTATCACCAATTACAGAACACGTTGTATACATGTTGATAATTATTATTATTTCACTCTAATATAATATTGTTTTATTTCTTAGAGGTACATTTTATCAAATAATTGGAGGGAAGCTTTACAGAGAAAAAGATTGCATGTTTCCGTCGAGATGCGCCGGAATAGAACACTTTATTTTTAAGATAATTGATAGCTTAACTGACATGGATTTAGTTATTAACACTAGAGATTATCCTCAATCGAATAAGCATTTTGGAAAACCTCTACCTATACTTTCATTTAGCAAGGTAATAATAATAATAATAATAATAATAATAATAATAATATATAAAATAATATAATTATATACAGAATACGCAACAGGGAACAATATTTTTCAAATTTTACTTTTTTTCTATATATATATATATATATAGAATATAAAGAATTTTTAATTCGATTCGACATCGTCTTAATTTGTGTTAAAATTCAGCACATTACACAATATTTATAGACACCACAATATTATGATATTATGTATCCAGCATGGGCATTTTGGGAAGGAGGACCTGCTATATCTTTGTATCCTCGTGGTCTTGGACGGTGGGATAAACACCGTCAATTATTAGATAAAACTAGTAAAGATATACCATGGGATAAGAAAAAAGAAAAGGTCTTTTTTCGTGGCTCTAGGACTAGCTCCGAACGCGATAATTTAATATTATTGAGCCGTGAAAATCCTAACTTAATCGATGCACAGTATACAAAGAATCAAGCGTGGAAGTCTGATGAAGTAAGTTAATTTAATTATTATTATTATTTTTTTTTTCTTCTTTTTTTTTTCATTTAATAATCTATGTCAATTGTTTGTCATTAATTATTAATGTTTATATTTAGGATACTCTACATGCACCTCCGGCTTCTGAAGTTCCATTAGAATCTCATTGCGCGTATAAGTATTTATTCAACTATCGTGGAGTAGCAGCTTCTTTTCGATATAAACATTTGTTCCTGTGTCGATCCTTAGTTTTCCACGTTGGCGATGAATGGACAGAATTTTTTTACGACGCTATGAAACCATGGATTCATTTTATTCCTGTTCCTAAGGATGCTACTCAAACTAATTTAAAGTAAGATTCGATGACTATTATTTCGTAACACATGTTATTTTTTTTTTTTTCAACACATTTTTTTTTCTTTTTACATCATTAAAATAAATTCTTAAATACTAATGTGTGACATATTTAATTTTGGAAATTAATATATATTTTTTTTTCATATTATTATTATTAATATATTCTATCTCTAGTATAATTTTCAATTAATTACGTTAACATTTATTTTCTTTTTCTTTTTCTTTTTTCAGAGAACTCATACAATTTGCGATAGACAATGATGCATTGTCAGAAAAAATTGCTAATCGCGGCAGAGATTTTATTTGGCATAAATTAAGAATGAAAGATATAACGTGCTTTTGGAAAAAACTTTTACAGAGTTATGGGAAAGTGTTGTCGTACAAACCAATTTTAGATCAAAATCTAATTCAAATAGAACGAAAATAATGGATTAATTTGATCAATAATTGAAGTAAAAAATATATATATTATACAATAAGTATAATCATTATACTAGATAAAATATACATGTATTTTTTATTATAATAATAATAATAATATTTACTTTTTATGATAGTGTGGAAAGTATATTACAATGGAGGCTTTTTTTTTTTCTTAGTTGGAGTAAAACACAGCTATGTGGCAAGTTTCAAAGTGAATCATTAATTCTCCAACGTTACAATAAACACAAAAAACGACCTCATACTATGCTCTTATTATAATTAATTTTCTATTTTCAAACATAATAAAATATTGTCATATTAATATGGAAACAAAAATAGATTTATAATCTAGCAAATGCATAATATAATAAATATTTGATCATAGTACAGGGTCATTCATAGTGTAACTTCATACATATTAAATGATTCTTAACACTTAAGTACTGGTAAAACACTTACACAATCAAACTACTTAAAGACTTATTGAATTATAAGAAAATGCATTATTGGTTGAAAATAATTATCAATTTGAATAGTTATATATATATAATACATTATGGTCAATAATATATATTTGAATTTTGTCGTTATTCGTTTTGTTTTAGCGTGTCAATATTGAAGTATAACTACAAAGTATTATTTTCTTTTTTTAAACTATATAAAAATTGTGATACTTGATCAATACATTCCAGATATTATTTGAAAACCACACAGTATTTGGTTCTTGCACATAGATACATTTATTTTTTTTTTATTATAATGAGATATAATTTGCCATTCGATGAAAATATAGCGTTTAATGTATTGACGATAATATGGAAGCATTTATTACGAGGAAATAAACAACGTTGCAGAATAAGAAAAAGAACGTCATATTTTTATAAATTAAATTCCTTTCATTTATAGTATTAATTTACATGGAAAAATAAAGCACGTATCTCTTTGCAAATGCGTAGACAAATATTAAGATATGAGATGTATGCATTACAAAAATATGATTTCTTTTTTCTTTTCTTTTCTTTCATCTCTTTTTCTCTTTTATGTCATAGATATCAAATGTATAAGTTACAAAAATATTTTTTAAGGCACTTGCAAAATAACAATTCTTTTTAAACATAATAGTAAATTAATAGTCGTGAGACATGAGTACTATAGCGAATGTTTTAATATGAATATATATTATTTGTGATTTAAATTCATTCATTTTTTTATTGTTGGATATAAAGTTATTATTGGTTTGTTTGTAAACTTTATGATTTGCGTACTCTGCATGTTGAATCTTCTTCTTTAATTCTTTTAATCCTTTGACTGCGAATGACGTCTATAGGCAACTACGCAACATTCTTCTTCACAACACAGTTGAATGGTTAAATAACATTATATCATTTGCCATCATTATTATCGCCCAACAATTAATATATAACTTTTTTTTTTTAATAATATAATTTAAAATACTATAGAACACTCATGTAACATCTTAATTTTTCTATAACAAATACTTTAGACAATATTGTATTGTCGACTTATATGAGAAACAATTTGATAGCAATTTTTTATTAATCATAGTATAGTTGTCTGGGAGTTGCAATGTTTTATTGCTGCATTTCATTTCTTTTTTAAAATATATATTTTCTTTTCTTTTTAATATAGAAATATATTTTGAATTTGTGCGAAATGCTACAACATACTAGACCCAAAACAAATTGTGCCTAACGATATTAGAAAGACTTTCCGCAGGTAATGTACAAATCAATAGATAGGCAGTGTGTGAATAAGGGTCCAGCACGAAAACATTGAACGGTGATAAATTTAATAATATTGATATGAATATGAGAATTCTTCCAAACCAATTTATCTCTAATATTTAATATAATATTTTATATAATATTATTAATAGATTAGTTCCTTCGTAAGACATTAAACTTTATCTATTAAAATTATACTATGCGATATACATTCAGGAAATACATGAAAGCGTACTTTGGAAAAATACTCATAATGAATCTTTTTTTTTTAAGATCTTTAAATTATTAAATTCGAAGGTCATGTCATTTCCTAATACTTAAAATCTAGACAAAAAAAAAAGGATTACACATCGCATAATCACATTTGCTATGGAAAAGTTTTTAAATTGGAGTTTAAAACCCTAGAAGACGATTAATACAGTAATAATCGATCGAGAGAGATAATGTATGAACATTTTTTCAAAACTTAATTTTTAATACATAGGCTTACGTGTGTTCCGAAAATATCCGAAATAATATATTGAGCGAAAATTTAAACAATTTATTAATTAACACAACATACTAAAACTTAATCAATTGAATGAGAAAATATAATTTTAATTTTCCTTTTGATTTTCATTGATCTAATTTTAAGAAATTTAATTAGAAAATTATTTCCATAAAAAACTTTGTTTAATGATCGCTCAATTTTTTACATACCTATTTATATATGTGCAGTAATATTATATTGTCAGTTCCTACTAATTAAAGATTATAATCGATGAAATGAGATGTTTGTTGTTCTGCGCAAGCTGATTTGCGCAAGCTAATTTGCGTAAGACAGTCTGCGCAGGAAGGTTTGCGCAAGAGGGTCTGCGCAAGAGGGTCTGCGCAAGATGTAATACAATTTACCTATTTTTATAAATAAAAAAAAAGACCTATAATATATTTTAATAATAGAACAAAATAAACAATTTAAATTGGCAATAAATCAATAAATTTCTCAATGATTTTAACTTCAAAATATCGTATTTTAATATCACATGAATTAGCACCCTTTTATATTAAATTATTTTGCATGCGCACAACGAATAAAATGTCTCATAATATTGTCAATAATAAAGAATATAATACTACCACATATATAAATAATAGTCTATAATTTTTCGGATTATTTTGATCAAAAGTCATACAACTAAAAATACTTACATACTTATTTACGTCATTGTACGATATGTGAACTAATTAGCTAAAATAAAGAATTTCTATTCAAGACGATTTACCACACGTTTTTTATTGGCAGTTTGCGTTTAACTCTTCTCTATTTTTTTCTTTCTTTCTTTTTTTACGTATATCGTTCAATAATAGAGAAGCGCGCGCCCGCCACCTCCCCCTTACACGCATATTAAAGTTAATCACTTTCACTATTTAACGATAGCCAGTCGTAGGTCAATGATGAGAATCCATAATAAAGAATAATAATAATAAGGAACGCATTTGAAAATGCGTGTGCGCGGGAACGTTCATTTCGTTTCGAGTTATGAAACCTGGATAACCAACACACATTCTTCTAATATCTTCTTCTTCTTCTTTTTTTTCAACACGACGATGATTGGTATTACTACGTGTTTCTTCGATTTATATTCTTGACAATAATTCTTCTATCCATTTCTAAAGAATCCATGTCATTTTCTAGATTTCCTTCTTCCTTTACGCAGTTGAAAACATAATCTTCGTATTTCGAAGTAATTTACTTTATGTTGCAACGACGAACCTCGCTATGATCACCGTCACAATACTAATGAGAACCGATCCGCTGGCAATACTATGCGATCCAGAATCCATACGATCTTGATTGGATGGCGTCGCGAATTGCTCGTCTATTCCTCCTGTTGATTATTGAAGGAAAAAGAAATAATAGCGCGCTCATTCGTGCATTTATATCCACGTGCGATTTAATGAAGGATTTTGATTGGTTCGAGGGATGTGATCAGGGGATAGTAATAAGGGATGAATTCGATCGATTATGATTGGCCGAGTCACGTGCAGCAAGAGGTCTCTCGCTTTTGTCTGTCTCCCCCTTTGAGTATGCGCGCGCATCCGTGGTGTATGCGCGCGCATCCATGGTGCATGCGCAAAAGCGCGCGCGAATAAACGTCGTTCAAAACGTTCGGATCGTTCTTGCAATCGTGCTGTTTGGACTCGTCGTTGTTTGGAACTTACATATTTCTTTTCTTTTCGTATGCGTGTATTATTTTTTGGTTTGCGATAGTTTTGGCACGTGTATCGCGATCGATTAACGTTGGCCGTTTTATCGATTCAGTTGCCGCTCACTTTTTCTCGAATCCGTTCGATCCGAGACGAAAGTTGTTGTCCTCTGGAAATACAGTATTTTCCGGGATTAATTTTTATCTTACTTAAAACTTTTGACTAACGTAGTTGATTACTTTCTTTTCATAAAGTGTGCAAGTGCGCGCGAGCGCTTTGACAAATGGTTCGGTGATTTTTATTTACGTTGGCATTTTGTACTTTCCTTCAAAATTTATAACCAATTTCACGAATGAATTTTGATGAATAATGATTATTTTATGCGTTTGACATTATGGTATTTCGATCAAAATAAAACAAAATAGAATATATAAATAATTATTTATCGAATCTGCATTATGGTATAGAAATTTGTTACTGTACCATCGAGATGTAATTTTTGTGTGTGAATTTATATCACATTTTTTCTATCATAGATTAGCTAATAATAGTTTTGCCATTGTATTGGTAAGATCAATTTTGTTAATATATGTGCATTATACTCATATGTATTAATTCGAAGTAAGTAAAATGCAAGTAAGATTAATTATTTTTCTAAGATCGTAATTGATAGAAATAATGTGTTATAAGGTTAGATTTATCTTGTCAAGTACAGTTACAAATTTCAAGATCATTTTCCGATTAATAATTAATAATTAATAATAAAAAATAATAAGATTTTTGAAAAATCGAATTTAAAAAAGAAAAACAAATTCAGTACCATCTTGCTTCAATTGCTTCGATTACCGTTCGTGATTGATCGAAGCAAGATGGCGGAAAGTAATCGATATATATCGAATAAACAATCATGGCGGAAGTAAAGAAGAACTCATTAGAAAAGAGTGATAACAAAGAAGTAAAGTAGTGAATAATAGAAGTTGAAAAGAAACAAAAAAACACATGCTGCGTAATGATTGATCCCTCTAAAACAAAACTACACTTTTGATTATCTCCTTTTTTTTTTATTTACGTGTAAAATTTGGCCTTTCACCATACGCAGTCGAAAGAAAATGATCGTGCAGAAAGAATAAATAATAAAAATTGTAACATACATATGATTATAAAAAATAAATAAAAATTAATAATGAAATAACGTGCAATGAAGAAAATACGAAATGTGTGTACGAAGTGTGCGATGGTGCATAAAACCATAAAATCAAAATAATTCAACGAACAAATAAACAAATACAAGTGAATAAATAAATCGTATAAAATAAATAAGTGAAAGTGAATTGTGATTTGTTAAAAAGAAATACAAGATGGATTCTTCCCTAATAAGATTAGTTCAAGTTCCAAACAACGTGACCGTCAACCTCTTAAATGGTTTAATATATATTTTTTTATATATATATATATAAATATTCTTTTAAACCATGCACCACCTTTGATTTCACACACGTTTTGCTGCACATACGTAAGTAAGAAAATATTTATATAATTTTGCTTTTTCCTTTATCGACCTCGTACTGTGATTTACTATGCCAATCCACCGTACATACACACATACGTGATATAGAACATTTGTAGTGTAGAATATACAAATAATACATGCATGTGTAGAAAACACTTATGCAAATAATATATACCAATAAATACGTGCATAGTAAATAAACGTAACACGTGCCAATCAAATCATTTGAATAACATACCTTTCAAAATTTCTATGATTGATCCTAATGATCCATCGAATTTACATAAATACTATTGGTCAGTTATGTTACGTTATTCTTGCAATAATAATTAATGTGCAATAAAAAAAAAAAGAAACAAGTAAAAATAACCCACAACAAGCTACTACAACTTTTTGTTTTGTTATTAAAAAAGATTGCAAAGAGATAGAAAGCATGAAAAAGAAGATACAAAAAAAAAAGAAAAAAAAAAACATACGTAAGTTTAGCATGCAATTCATAGACACATATATAGTGCATACCTATAAGCATAATTTTTTTTTTTTTTTATAAAGATTATGAAAAATAAAAAAGGTATAGAGAGTAAGCTGTTTTAGAAGTTACTTATGTTTAAAATATTTACTTTTTTTCCGGTACTGGATACGGCAACGATGACACATTGACGACATGATTAAATTTAAATTATCCTTAATGTTTCT